CAAACTGTTACCATTTTCACTGTCCAGTTATTTATGACGTCCACCATTTGTAGATTATCATTCATCCTATGCCATGGTTTGACAATATCTGCTGCTTGGATTGTAACGTTTGGTCACTTGTGCAGTACACAACATTCATATAAGACCTTTCTGTGTTTTTAATATTGGTTTAACCTGCAAAAAATTACCTTTGTCTTGAGATGGAGAAGAGGTTTGGATGTTAGTTTATATTAAGTCATGCTTAAGTTATGTCAGTCAAACCTATTTTTATATTGGATTGTTTTATTTAGATGGATAATCTCCTGTTCAGATAGCAGGAAATGGTCTACTGAGCAACCCTTGACTTGAAGAAGTCATCTGCAGAAGTCCATTAAAGAAATCAAGGGTGTTGATTGTTTCTTTTTTGTTATTGTCTTTAAAACTGCTTGAAAATTGTCCCAGTGTAGAGAAGGTCTATTTATTATACTAAATATAGGAGTGTATATTTCATTCTGTATATAATATATAACTATGTGTTCCGTCCAATTCCTTTTGTGACCTCAACAGAATATTTTAGTATAAAATTCACTCTGAGATAGTTTATATTTTATATTTGATATAGGATTATCTTAGCTTGTCAACAATGATATTATTAGTTCAATATTACCCTTTCGCACTGTGTTTGAATTTTGAGAGCGTGTTTTATAACCCTAGATCTGCTTTATAGAACATGCGTTGGTAAAGAATTGCATTAATGTCATAAAATGTTTTCATTTCTAAAGGTAATGTATATTACCATGGAATTCAATCTATATTGAAGAGAGACAGCTAGTGCTGGACAATATTGTCTATTTTCAGTATGATATTATTTTGAAAAAGTATCATTGAAAAGAGTTCTAGAGGGTGCTATTAAATGAAAATTACTGCTGTTCTATAAAAATTATTCATGAATGCATAAATGAAACTTTATTTACCATATTCAGTGAATTTTACTATATTCACATGAACATATGGTTGTTCTGTTTCATTATATTGTTGATTTCATGTTTGAAGATTTTAGTAGTATCCCAGTTTTGACGATTTTTGAGTTAATTCAGAATAAATATAATATATTTGTACTGGTAATATCTTGCCATGTCCTAGCTAAATATGATCAACAAGAATTGAATTCAATTGGAAATAGGAAATGCATTTTGAACTGTTTAACAGTCCTATGTTTTTGTATATAGTAAATTAACTGTGCCATTATCATCCTTTCTGTTCTTTTTATCTGTAAATAGTTTTAACAGAGTATTTATTATATTTATTTATTGTTATCTGTTGGCAAGTTTTTAGATCTGGAATCAAACATCTGCTTTTGTATAATGATTGAAATGGAGACATAGAAATATATCAGATTTTACATTTTATGTTTAAAATTAGATATATACTTTAAATTTTAATCCAGTTGACTTGGAGCTTAATCTTATAAAACATATTTAAGCACAGCAGCACTTTTTAACTGTTCTATTGAATGGTTAATTTTTTCATGAAAACAAATTGCTTCATCTGTAATTTATTTAAAAGTTTTTACGTTTGAAAATTGTTGCTGGACAATAGTCAACTATATTCACTAAATTTTGATATTCTTCAATGTTTTCAAACCAATATAAAAACACCAGTTTCTTTGTGTACTTGTTTTGTTTTTTAAATTAGTAAGTATGAATATTACTTTTTAAAATCTGGTTGATTTTAGCAGCACTATATGTAGTATATAATTGCACTGACATTTTTCTATTTGTGTTCACCTCATGTACCTGTATATATATATAAACTAATTTAGTAATCATCTTTTGTACATAAACACTCATAATATACAAGTAAACACTCAAAATAAAACCAGTTTAAAAAAATTGTTTTTAGGGCAGTTTTATTGCTTTGTCACCATTTTTGTTAGAGTTTGAGTTCTAATTTAAGAAAAGATCACTTGAATGTCTTACTTCAAGGACAATTTTTAATATTCATATTTTCAGTCTACGGACCAATTGTTTAAATATATATTTTACTTTGGTTTTTAACAAGAAAAATTTGGTCCTTTAAAATCATCATTTAACTGTTAAATGCAGTTTATATTGCTGTTAACATAACAAAGATTGGTTTTAAAGGTACTTAAGGTCTTTAAGACCACTTGATTTTGCCGTAAAATAATTTGTCATGTGCAAAATTATTATAATAGGAATTTATTGTAGACTAATAGCAGTATGAATTGAACTTGAACATATTCATTACTTTATATAGACACAGCTTTATGGAACAACAATCACTGGTTAAAGTTTTATGCAACGTTTCGACGTGTTTCCCACGTCGTCCTCAGGCTGTGTCTATATATCGTACTCACAATTGCTAAATGCCATTCAAAGACTATATTCATTACTTGTTGTAAAATATACATTAGTTTATGTCAATTCTGATTCTGGAGATTCTGAATACCAATCGATCTCATTGATATTTTACTGTTGAATGTAACTTTATAAGGATTGTTCTGAACCAACAAGAAGCCTTAATTGTATGTACATGTATAATTATTTTACAAGACTCAAAACCAAATTCTTTGAAACCGTCCTTCAGTCTATTCTGGATTATTCATATTAATTTGTTATTTGCCTTTGCTTATTTTTCCGTCCATATCAAAGTAGCTCTTTGAGACTAATTCTAATACAATGTAGTTTTCATTTAGAGTGCAATATTCGTAACTCAAATTAAAACAATTACAAATTTATTTATGTAATATTTTGGAATCAATATGGCCATACAATAATTGTTGCATAATTTTTGCTCTGCTTGTTAAGGTGGTAATTTTAGGGGTATAATTTTATCAAAATAGCTAAGTCTATGATTAATTTTCATGGATTATTCAAATCTATCACAAGTATTTAAGGTTGTTTGTTGCATTAAGTGAACAAATCAGCATTTAATAACATATTAGTTTTGCTGTTTTTATTGTAAGTATTGTCTGAGCAAAGTGAAAAGTTTTTCCATTATTTTTATGAGAATTGAAATAGTAGCCTCAAAATAGTACTGCTAGTATAAATATAAGCATGAGCACAGATTATGTTTTCAAAATTTGTTTTTACAGAGAAGAATTTTCAGTCAAAATATAGGACCTTTTTGGTTTAGAATTGCTAAGAGGAAAATGTGTTTCCTCTTCAATGTAAAATTACAAAAATTTATATTTTTATCAACGCAAAGACCTTCCGAGACTAACAGTACCAGTTTGAGGCTGATATTACAACTTTTTTTTTTAAATATTGAAAAAATTAAAAAAAACTATTTGCTTTGCTCAGATGATAGCCTTTGATCATTAGTCCAATACCTTTTTGTGTACCACTCACATGGCTCAAACAGAATTAAAAGAAAATAAAATGTTTTCTTGTTGTGCAAGTCCCAGCTATTAGAAATAAACTTACAATTCAAAACAGCAATGGAATTTGTTTTTTATACGCCCACATTATAATGTGGACGTATATTGTCGTCACTCATGTCGGTCCATCGGTCCGTCTGTCCACAATTGGCTTGTGAACGAGATAGACTACCGTTTTCATCTGATTATAATGAAATTTGGTGTGATCATTTATATTGATGAGATATTGGACAAGTTCGATATTCATGATTTTGTGATGAATGGTTTCTGAGTTATTGCCCTTAACTAAGCCAAAACGGGTCAAAATTGGCTTGTGAACGCGATAGAGACTACAGTATTCATCTGATTTGAATGAAATTTAGTGTGATCATTTATATTGATGAGATCTTGGACAAGTTCGATATTCATGATTTTGTGATGAATGGTTTCTGAGTTATTGCCCTTAACATAGCCAAAATGCATCAAAATTGGCTTGTGAACGCAATAGAGACTACAGTTTTCATCTGATTTGCATGAAATTTGGTGTGATCATTTATATTGATGAGATCTTGGACAAGTTCGATATTCATGATTTTTCGATGAACGGTTTTTGAGTTATTGCCCTTGACTTAGCCTAATCAAATTGAAATTGGCTTGTGAACGCAATAGAAACTACAGTTTTCATCTGATTCGAATGAAATTTGGTATGATCATTTATATTGATGAGATCTTGGACAAGTTTGATATACACAATTTTTGGATGAACGGTTTTTGAGTTATTGCCCTTGACTTAGCCCAAACGAATTGAAATTGGCTTGTGAACGCAATAGAGACTACAGTTGTCATCTGATTCGAATGAAATTTGGTGTGATCATTTATATATTGATGAGACTTTGGACAAGATATTCTTTATTTTTAGTTGGACGGTTTTTATACGCCCACATATAATGTGGTCGTATATTGTCGTCACCTCAGTCCGTCCACAATTGGCTTGTTATCTGATTTTAATGAAATTTGGTGTGTTCATTTATATTAATGAATTCTTGGACAAGTTCAAATTTGATGATCTTTCGATGAACGGAATTTGAGTTATTTCCCTTGACTCAAAACGCATCAAAATTTGTTGGCTTGTTAATAGTTTATGTCAGAATTTTATTGAATATTGAGTGTTTGATTAAATCAACTATATCTTGCACAAATGAGATTTTTGGTATGATTTGACAAAGACTGGTGACCGTCCTTGATATACTGAAAATGTATCAGGAAATTGGGCGTATCTTGCTAGGGAACCACTTGTATCATTTAAATGGAATTCAGAATGGCTGCCAACTGAACTGTTTTGTGATTAGATGAGGTTGGTTGATTGGTGGCAGTGGAGGAGCCAGAGGGAAGGCAGTCGTCCCCTGTCGCATGTTTTTCAGGCAAAAGACCTCATAACTATGTTAGAAATTCAGGCAATCTCAGATATTTCGCCCACTCTCCCCCTACAGTTTTCATTTGATTTAAATTCCAATTCTAATGAGATTCTGGCAGAGTAAATCAGGTATAAAACAAAGCGATTATGGTGTGGAAATTTTAATATAATACACAAGATCTAGCATGATGACAAAATGATTTAACAATTTACATTTAAATAAACAATTCAATGATCTTCATAGAATTTAGGTAGTTGATTTCCTGTCAATGTAATTCTCTCTACACCATCTTTTGTTATAGCTGCTAATCTTATTATACCTCCACTAGAGCCATCTCTATTGATAGCTAATGATAGAGCTGAAATATATATATTTTACAAAATTAGAACATACATACAGACAACATCAGTAAAATTACACATGTATGGAACATAGTGCATGACACAATTCTTGTATTCTACACAAAACAGCAGAATTTAGTCAAAACTTATTCTCATTTTCGTTAACATTGCAAAATCATAACATTCACTTTTACCTCTGTTTTAGATTATGATGTTATTCAAAATATGCAATGTAAATTTGTCAGCTAAATCCACTGTGAAAATATAAAACAAAATTCAGAATCAATTCATTTTACATTCTTCATATTTCAATTGAACTCTTTATTACTTACCATTAGCAACAAACGGTAAACATTCCTCTTTAGACATTTTTGGTTTGAATTGAGAATCAACATAACCATATAGATAGGTACTACCAGACCCTCCAATAGCAAACGGTTGTCTTACAACCATACCACCTAATGGTACAGCAAAAACCTGAAGGAAAATCAAAATATTATACTGTAATATAAACCAATTGGATTCTTTAGTGTTATCTGTCTCTCAAGAGCAAAATAGTAAATAATTAATACACTTCAAAGTAGTAGAGGTTGTGTGCTCAAACCATATTGAACAACAAGAGGCAATAGCTACTTGAACATGAACTTTTAATCTTTTCTGTTGTCTCTCAAGTGAAACATCGTTTATTTTGTTAAGTGATGAGGTTTTGTGTACAAACCCTATCAAGCTGAAAGCCAAATAATTTCCTAATCAGCTATGCTATCCACTTGTATAAGCTATTTTAAAAAAGCAAATGATATACCTGTCCTCCCTCCTTCTTATCCCATCCTGCCACAATAATACCGGCTGATATATTATCTCTATGATCATAACATAATTCTCTGAAGGTATGAGCTGCTGTGTGAACCAATGGCTCCTCACCCATTTCCATCCTAAAATATAAAAATATATTGTTGCAAAAAACAAATTAATCAGTAATAGAATACTATAAAAAAAAAAACTCTTTTAATTTTTTTTACTGAGCACTTCTTGTGATTTTCAGTGAGAAGACTAACAAGGCTGATCAAAAGATATAGAACAATTGAGTCATGAAGCCAGTAATCCACTAATAATGGATAATTGCTTGGACTGGTTTGTAATACTATCTTATATACTAGGTACCGGTACATTAGAATAAAGCTGACTGCGCATGCTGAAGCTATGTATTGTTCCAGGATGCATACAAATATCTTTACTCAACTATTCTTAATCATAGAAATTACTATTTAATAAAACTCAGAATAAACTGACAGCCACTGTTTATTTTACATTTTTTTCTCAGGATTTATACACTCATCAATACTTACTCATAGAAATTCAGTTGATATTTAACAATATCTGCTACAGCCTGGGTATCAGCTGCAGAACCTGACCTACAGCAATATATCTTATCTGTTACTTTCGTCAATTTATCTGTCACTCTGTTGGCTATGTAAGCTCTGAAAACAAAACAAAAATGACCTTTATATTTTAATTTAACGTATACAGTAGTTGTTGCAAGATGCAAATTATTATGCATCATGCAGAAAAAGACTTTCTGGAACAGATAAAAAAAAATTCTAAGAAATATGGAAAAATATTATTTTGATGCCATTTTTCACCATTTACAAATCAAATTAGCTATTACAAACCCTGAAGTTGTTCTTGAATCAGCACCTATTACCACACCACCGTCAAACTCTACTGCAGCAATAGTTGTCTACCAATAAAAAGTAAATAAAACATGATAATCAAAAAATATCCTATTCAGTATCAATTCAACTCTCTGTCCTCTCTAGGATATTATAAAACATGTCACTGACAATGCATGTTGTAAGTAAAAATAAAAGTAAATGCAAATTCTTTCTTCAGCCACTTATTTCACTTCAAATATAAGCGGTGAACGCAAATCATACCATAAGAGACGTGACGAATCTAACCTGCTAAAATTATTTACTTACACCAGTTGTTAGCTCTGTTTTTAACCAAAATGGGGTTAAATTCGACATAAAAGCTGGTTCCATATTTTGTTGTATCATGCTTGTCGCCATCTTGATTATTTACTTTGAGAAACGACCGAAGGGAGGCAACTCTGTTTTATGAAAGCAGTAATGAAATCAGACTACAAATAAAAACGATATTTGCAATAATAATCGTTTCAAATTACATAGTCTTAGTCTTACATGTATAATCAAGAAATTAGTACCTATAGTGACTATAGATGTTTATAGTGAATGCTCTCCTGCACAGTATTAACTGGTAGTACTAATGTATTAATAATAATACTGTAAAGAAAAACACATAGTCTTGCATGTATAATCTACAAATAAGTATCTATAGTTATTAGATGAACTTTATAAACAATTTAGAACACCAACCTTAATTGGGGAGATGATTTTCTGCACTGCATATACTGCTAAGGCCCTATCGTCTCTATTAGCCTAACCAGGTGGAGAAGTAGGACGTATAGGTCTACTACATCATTTCAATTGCACAGCCTGGAGCAGAAAAATAGCCTAGGAAGTAAAATTCCTTTATTTTATTTTCCAGTTACTTTAAGGAAGGGCATGGTGTTATGTAGCCAATTCCATAATTTGGAACACATGATTTTACTACTTCACATACATGGGACTTTAGTGTATATACATAGTGCAAAGCCTTGGACCCCGTTAGTTGAACCTTTACGTTGCCTACTATTAGACAAAGTGATATGATCCAGTAAATCATTTCAATTGTTCGGTATTCTAAAGACGTATACGGGGATATATTTATAGTTAACTAACAGCAAGGTTGTCCATTTTCAAAATTGTATAAAAGTTATGTGCTATCTTCTGTTTATGATCAAGTATGACTCTTGTGTTTCTGACATTCGTGACGGAAAAGTTAAATGTGGTCTAGGTCAAAACGAACTTAAGCTCAGAGATTAAAGGGAAATAACTATGTATAAATCAATAAGGTTCTGTCATCTTCTGACTCAAGTACCAAAAATACATGGTCTTCCAAAATGCGTAGATTCATTAATTAAACGACTTATTTGTCAGAATTAGTCGGGGATCAGGTTGACCCTGAGCTTCTTCAAAATCTCTATAAAAACAGGCTTCCTCAATCTTGTATCATCACAACAGAGGCCTTCAAAGTTTACAAAGTTTCCATGCTTTTCAATTTCGCCAGATTTCGTAATTTCTAATAATAGTTTGATGTAAATACCAATTTCCATTTGCGTTGGTTATTCGAGGAAGAAGGATCTGGAGATATGTCTTTTCTGATGAAATAGTGTGACACGACCTTGCAACAGATGATATCCTTGTTGGATAGCCTGCATGATAAATGACAAATAGCCTAATTGGGCTCTATACACTAGTGTTATTCGTTGAACTTGGATTGGTAATTAACGCAGTGAGTAGAAACATTTCAATATATAGGAATTTAAATCGCAGCTCATAAGAGAACAATGAGTCACCGTATGTAAACTATTTTAGTTTGTGTAACTTATTCGACTTAGCCTAAATATTTCTGCAAAGAATGTTAAAAATTTTCCAACCTTGCGCAAGTACTTACTAAGTTTTTATGGTTTTTGTTTTTAAGACAGCCAGAGACAGCCAATATTCTTGCACAACTCTGAGAAGATGTCTAAATGTAGCGAAATTGTGAAATTCTGGCCTATAGGCTACAACAGTAATAGATTGCATTAGTTAAACTTCACAGAAGGAATGTACAAATCTTCTCCAACATAATTTGATTGGGTTTTTTTTTAGCACACAGTGTGAAGCATGATGTACATCGGTTGAAATGAAATCATTTCTACAGTGAGATATGTCTATAAAAACGTGATCATAATTATTTGTTGTTTGATGAAAAAAAATTAATATAATTGAGTTACTTCCCGTGGTGTAGAATTCAGTCAGACTGGTAAAACTGTTAAAAGACCAGTATTACATTATATACAATGATTGCTACTTTTGATACTTTTTCTGCCTATCAGGTGGGAAAAAATGGAAATATATCATTATACCTGAAGAATACGATCCCAAATGGGCTATGTGGGTCATTGCATGTAACACTTGACCTTGTGAAGATTTTCCTGGCTTTTTCCCCGAAAATTAACAGATATGAACGTCCGTTTTCTCCATCAATTTCGTAATTTTGAAGATTTTAGAGACACTAACAAATTGCATTTCATAGTTATAACAGAGGTATGCTTTAATAAGTAACAGAGGTGCCCTTCCATCCTTTCGTAATTTTGAAGATTTTAGAGACACGTATTTCATCGCAACGACTTTGTCATTAGTGTTGGGTGTTATAGAAGATACTGTCCTATAGAAGCACTGACCAAGTCCACAAGAAGAGATGCTTACTTCTTTTCTTTTCATTTTTATCAATTTGAGTAGTAAAGATTAAATTGGAACAAGATGGACTTTGCTTCGTGCAAAGAGAAATTAAAACAATGTAAATTTTTAGAAAGACTGAAATTATACAATGCTAACAAATAATACAAAGATATCTTAGACACATAAAATGCAAGTGTTAGAGAGTTTATAATGGACAAGCAAATTACTTCGATTTTTTCTCTTTTAAAAGCAGTAACCAAATTTTTAGATTTCTCTATTATTTGTCAGTGATTAGCCTTGTTCCAGATTCACAATCACATTCGTTATGATGACCATTATCTTGTCTAGCCCACTCACTCCCGCGCTATAAAAGTCTTTTTGACCGAATCTGTAATGACCCGCCTACAGTCAATATTCGTCTGGTAGATAAAGACTACACAAACTCATTCATAAAGCTTGAACTAAAAATAGACATTGGTCATAGTCAATCACGAGGTTCCTCGTGTTAGTACCGTATACCACGTGGGGCCTATGGTACCATTTCTATTATTGTTTATCATTGTTTATATTGATATACTCGAAAGTAATTGTTGTGTCATTGTCATTTTTTTTTTACATAACAGAGACGTTGTTATAGATAATAGTATGAAGGTAGGCCTATAATTATATGTCTATATTTTGACAACTTTTTAAATCCGGGGCGTTCTTTTTTGATATTCCATACAAACTGCCTTTAAACTAATCCACCAATTTTTACTATTGTGTATTCTTACTAAAACTAATATTATGTAGGCCTAATGATCCACGTAAATTACAACTATAAAATTTTCTTCGTAGTTGAGATTTCACAGATTTTGCCGTGCCCACCCAGTTATTTGATATATCGTCTAATCGCTTTAGATATGTCGACATGCCATGAAAGTAATTAATATTTTCAACCATTTATAATACATTTTGTAACATATTTGAGTAGGAGGGCATGACCGATTAAAGTTATATTGGCTTCTTTTTTTTTTTGACCGTGTAATTATGGTTATAAAGCAGATGATAGTTTAAATAGACCGTATATTCTAGTAAATTCGAGTGATATGCGTCATTTGGGATGGTTGTATAATGTTTGTAATACTCTCTTAAAGTAAATTCACACTGCTTATCTTATGGATGTCGCATTGGTTGGATCTGGAATATTTAATTATGATGTCACCTAGTTATCGCGCCCTTATTGCACTTGGATATGTCGTGTACCAACGGAAATGGTCAGTAGATTCGACTGGAAGGTATGTTCTTTTAGGGTTACTCAGGGATTTTGTGTGTGGTCATATCTAGTGGTTTGGCCTATTCCTATGTGTAGTGCCATCTCTGACTTGCAGACGATTGAAAAAAAAGTTGCGACTGAAAAAATGGCGATACAGGTTATACTTCTTAAGTTATTTAAATCATGTTACAGGCGAAGGTCCGTTTGGTGGAGTAGGCTAGGTTAATATCTGTAACTCGATGAACGTGCGTTTGTATTATGAATATTATAATGACTATTAACAAGATGTTTACAAATATCAATATATTAGTATACCGGTTTGATTGATAATATCTCGTTCGTTATGTGTGAGTGACTATATCACCACATAGAGGTCTATGTTAGATACTAAGGCCCAGTGCTCTGACGTGGAGAAAAACATAATATTCGAAATTTTCCAGTTGAGCATTCTTAAACCAATCCCATACATTCTGCGAAATTACTTTACACTAGACTCATTTGCTTCTCTGATCAATCAAGACTACCGTAGGTCACGTTGACCAGCCACTTTACGCATCATTTCTGTTGAAATGTCATTGAGCAAATGTGACTTGACAATGGCGTCTAGCCACGCCCTCGCATGTCAAAAGGTCACCAGGTACGCTGTAAGCCAATCCCAAATTGATCTGACTTGCGCGAGACTAACACGTGCAATATGTTGAAAAGGTTGAATTATTTCAAAATATGGACACAGTTTTGTGAATGAAAACTTGAATGGATGAGCAAAAGTACTATATATGTCATAGTAGCAGAGATTGGGTAAGTTTAAGAATAATTTATGCCGGGTTATTTTCTGCTATTCTACTGTCACTCTGCTAGTTATTTTAACAATTGAAAAACAACATTTCTCCTTTTGAATTACATGCTAAAAATGATATTATATAAGATATGTAGTCTTATATTTAGCAACGGTTGATTTTTTATCTATATGATACGCTCTCTAGTTCTAACAAATACTAAAATGACATTATTAAAGAAATATTCTTATTATTCCATCGAACTTTCTGCAATCCAAGGTTAGGCTTCTTAGGCTATTATCTTAAAGATATTTGAAAATTTTATTTTGAATGTGTTGTTTATGAAATAACATTTTAAATTTTGTTTTTGTCTCGTAATTGACCTTGGCCTTAAAGCACGGGTCGTGATCAGCAAGTATGTCACACAAGTCCTGTTTTATAAATTGTTGTGTAATTATTTGTCTGATATAAACATGGGATATATGTAAATATTTCGTATAATCTGTAGACTATAAACGATATTAATTTGTAATTTTTCTGATATCGGTCTACTTTGATTTCCCAGATTAAATTTGTATCTGGTGTTTCGCAATAATCTACATTTAAAGAGTCATAATGTATGTTTTATTGCCTACCCCGAATATATATATCATTTAACGTCATATAACATTCTACTTTTATTAATCTTTTCTCTCTTATTTGTTATGAAGTTGATTGTCACGGCATTTTAAAAGCTTGAAAAATATTATATGAGTTAAAAAGACTTTTTTCTTTATATATAGATGAACAGGATCAAAATGTTTCATTGAAGTATAGAGTTATATTTCTATCATAAATAACTCTAGGGAAGCCAGATTTTGTTTAAAATTCAAATTTTGAAAATGCTCCCAACACCTCTCCCCACCCATTTTGGCAAAGCCATGGCATGTCACGAAACACTCGTTTTCCATGAGAGTTATATAAGTGAAGTAATAAATGTATTTCATTTCTCGATTTTCTACCTTAAAGCGTGACTTCATGTCCGGGTCTCCCGGATTTCAGCTTGTCATTTAGTTGGGTTGCCTGGTGTCAAACCAAAAGTCATTAATATTGACATAAAGGAAATCCTTTTCATAACTTTGTAAAATTTTAGGTCAGCGATCTCCTCAAAAGGTTTACTTTTAAAGGGTCAGCTTCATAAAATCAGAATTTCCGACTAATTGTGTCGTTTATGTTTTTTTTTTTTTCATATTGTAAAATCAGTTTTGGTTTGTCCATCGCTGTCAGTGGTTCTTTGTTTTGTAAGCTTCATTGAAAATAATTCTGATTTTCAAAATATTTTTACTATTATATTATATAGCCTAATGTCCTACTGTTCTTAACGATTATGATAAAATACTTCAAACTATACCCTGTAGAAATCGATGCACACTTTAATCTTTTGAATCGAGGTCAAATTAGTTGTCTGTAAGGAAAGGTATGCCCCATGCCCACCTTTGCGGAACACATGATGTTGCACCTTGAAATAGAATGAAGGCGGAGATGATGATCAAATATCAATAGACCTTTATTCAAACCGTTCTATCGGACAATTCCAATTATGAACATTAATGAACTTTTAATTAGTTAACTGTCAGACACAAATAAACTTATCAGTAAAATTGCCCACGACTTGTTTCCATTGATCTCGATAAGGCACCGTGTATTTCAAAACCCCACAACAGCTGTTCCAATAGTCATGAATGTAGTCGTTTGTTGAATTCAATAGAAATTCAAATATTTCACAATTTTAATAACTTGTGTAATAGACCGTTCAATGAAATTTAGGTTGATAGTTAAACAGTATTTCATTTTGTGTCTGAATTCCATCATTGCTTGCCAAAAAAAAAGGAATTAAACTAAAGACAAAAGTTCTTACTATGATAAAACGTCGAATGTTGCTAGCAATTGAGAATGTGCACTGATTTACTTGGTTTATTTTGAAATAATCTTAAAGCAGAGTTCAAACTGAATGTCAAAAGTAATGGTTCACTCTTCGGAGGTTAATCTCAGAAACGGAAGATGATATGTAGCTATAAGCTAATCAGTATGAGTATTCAGAGCATTCCGACGAAAATGGCGCCTTCTAATTCATGTGCACCTTTCGTCTTTTCTAATCTCAGTCTCCTGAAGAACCGTTACAGATTAGGTAATTAAAATTTATCCAAACACAGATTTTTCCCATTCACCTTTATCAATACAAAATTTTCAGTTATCATAATTTTCGGACAGTTGATAAACTCGTGAATGCAAACAATAAAAAGTTTGCTTGCCCAATTTGAAGTACTTTTGAAGGAATTAAACAGGTTTCATAAACAATGATTACTCCCTCCCTTTATTGATATTTATGAAAGAAACCAGGATCATACAATACAGTTTAATGATGTGATTTGTATGATACAGGTGGAAATGATCTTTCACGACTTTATCACTTTATAACGCCTAGAACAACCTCCACATTTTGCACAACTTTTTGTTTAAATTGATTGTTTTACAAGTTAAATTGGTAAGTTGATGAAATCAATATACAGCAAAATAAACTTGCGTCAATCATCACCCGATATAAATATATTCTGTAATCTGATATTATTAGCAATAAAGCCAAGCGATACGGTGTAGGTGGATAAATTTATTATCTCGTCACGTTCTGTCCCCGACAGTCACACACCGGACAGCAGTCTATCTCGTTCCGCGGCTTTGGTGGGCGAAATGTCATCATTGGAAGCCTTTCGATTTGATATATGTTTCATCCAGTGGCGACACCAGTGGGAGAACAGAGCGGAGGATTTGAATCTCAATCTCGACAGTTGCCCATGATATTTAGACCCCAAATCTCGGGAAGCTGGCGCCGACCATTGGTTTCAACTGGGGTTATCTTGATTATGTTAAAGCTATATGTGGCGTGATGTTAGTACGATCCTTCCAGAATAAAAATATTCGTTTAAACCATGAAAGGGAGTTAATTAAAAGTAGTACATGAGTCCCTTTATTCGCTGTTCGGTAGCTGATTTTATTTTTCACTAAGTTTATCAAATTGATAGGTTTCGACGACATACAAAAGAAACTCGAAATTTGTACCTTAGCATTACGAATCTGAATGATTGACTAAGATGTTGACCACACGCGCTTTTTACCTTTGATATATGAATACATTATGGGACATGTTACTTTAATTTCACGCTTGGTGATTGATCCCTACAAACCTTTGTGTTATAAAGGAGGGATTGGTTGATAGTTGCACAAGGCAAGGAAGAAAGTGTCGCCAGGCCCTTTAAGTACATTCAGCTGTTTTTGTGTTTAGATGAAAGAAAGATTAACAAGAAGGTTATATGTAGGATTGGTCGATCGTATTATGTTTAGTAAAATAATACCAGACTTCTTTATAAAACACCCAAATGTTATAAATAATGTTTACTTAAAGGGATTGTAAAATGTTTTTTTTTTTAATTTTTGTTTATTGGTGACACTGATAGCATCAATTTGCACCATTTCATTTAGACGTCTGTTGTTCCTGCAATTCACTAAAACTAAGTGTGTGATGATGTCACTAATCGCAAAGGGTTTTATGTAATACAATCATATTTTATGATTAGTAAGCGCTCGGTTTTCTGGAATGTATCTATAGTAGTCCTATCCTATATTATTTAAGATTGGTCACGTTTCAATCTTTCACTTTGTCCGTTCCAAGCCCCCATTTCTCTAAATATTTTCAGATCAATTTTGTCGGTAGTGCAGGGATTGAATTGTTGTTGGCTTGGTTCCTACGACAGTGGGTGAGGTCAAATATTCAGTTTAGTTGGATTGAGTTATAGTTGAGTTAACTCAGAGTTAACCTGAGCTCTTAACCCAAAGATAACTCCACGGTCAGATTAGCTCTTGAATAATCCCAGAGTAACCCTGGGGTTATCTAAGTGTGATCTAAAGATTATACAAAATATCAGAAATATTTTCAAATTGTTCATCAGTTAGTCGCAAGAGCCTATGGGCAGGTTCCTAACTCGATGCAGGCCTTCTGACATAGTTTTCTCCCCTTTGTAGGGCAACAGCTTTTAAAACTGGCACGAACAGCATGGCTGACTTGGCATTAAGGCTAGATGATCTTAACTAAAAACTTGACCTACAGATGGAGATGACCTGTCAACTCATCATTTAACAATGCTTTTGTCCAACAAAATGGCTGCTTGTTCGGGTTAACTCAATCCCAGAGTTAGGATTGAGTTGAAATTTGGGGATTATCCAAAGAAAACTACAGTATCTTGGGTAATCTAACTCAAGTACAGAGGTCAAATATCGGATTGAAACAGGATTAGAGTAACTCAAGTGTAATCTTTTCATCTTAACTCAAAGTAAACTAAATATTGCCTTCACCCAGTGTGATACGATTGGAAATACACCTATCTACATGATAGAGAGAAGCACCTCTGCTGACAAGGTATCGTTGAAAGCTGCTTCAGTCACACTACTATCCGATGATGGGATTATCAGGTAGTTGCCAATTTCGTTTTATGCTTAGGACATTTAATAAATATGCACGTGGGTGCAGCCTTGTAACATTCATTAAGTGATAAATGTTACTAAATGACAGAATTGACGTTTATCACCTGTCATGAAGGAAGGGCTGGCTCTTATCACAAGGTCTCTTGCATGAATCATCTAATAGTCAAATTATTGCCGGTCACGATAAAAAAAAAGTTATTGGTATTGTCATTTTACCATTATGAAAATTTTATTATTATCAACAAGGTGCCTGTTTCACAAGAAAATTTACTCGTGAACGTCAGATAGGGAATAAACAGACTGTTTCTTTATGTTTTATTTTCGTTTGCCAGAAGGTCCCAAGTCGAATCTCAGGTTTATCATTAGTCTATTGATAAGGACTTGATGGCTGAGTTGAACTTCCAGTGGTTGCTTTGGACTAATTAAGATTAGTTAGGCTTTGGGTTAACCCTACCCTGACCCTAGGACACTATTCTCTAGGACTTAATTGGGTGCAACCAAGGTCTACTCAACGGAGAAGACGTAACTACTCAAAGCAAGAGGATCTTCTTGAATGCCCCTTGAAAAATCAACGTTGTCCCGTTTGAATTTATATTCCTTAGTATAAAAATAACTTAATCAGATGGTGAGTCAAAATATAGTCCTGCAATGAATGGTGAATCAAGAATTGCTTGATGAAATCATATGACTCACGTCTGGTAGGGTGAGATATAGGAATAGGACGAGATAATGACAATAGTGTTTTGTTTATATAAGCATCATTGATGCCATTTATTATAGGACCCTTAACTTTGCAAAATATAATTGATGGAATCCTTGGTACTCACGCTCATTGCTCCGCAGTAACTGGCATGTCACAAAAGCTGTTCAAAAATAACCAGTTGTCATCAATATTATGCCAACAAAATGCACTTGTTTCCTTTATGCGTTCTTGAGATCTGTCTTTGATATGCAGCGCTCAAAACTTTGCTTGATCTCATCGCGATAATCGGAAAAAAAATTCTGGTGTAGATTATTACGTCCTAATACTTGTGTGAAGGTGATATAAACTTATCCTAACATATATTTAGTGCATTTTGTGAGGGCACGAAAAGTAAAAATTAGATCAAAGGGCAGTGGAGGTTTATCTTGGTAAATATCTATTGCTATTGTATGTAAACATAAACTATTGTTATATCGCAGTGGAGAGATTCTCTTAGTCATAATAATATTGGTGACTAATTATTAGTAATACCGTCGACGGTTCATCTTCTGCTTGGTTACCATAGTGATATACAGTTGTTTGAAGTGAGTCAACTTGATAGATTTTACCTGTTTGATTCCCTGTAAAAGTCAAGGTTAAATTGTGGTGCCTGGTGGCCAATCCTTCTTGCTTATTTACAACATAATAGACCTACATTAACTTCT